CTGTTCCCAGTCCTGCTGCTGCTCCTCCCCCTGCTGCTGCAACCAGTACTGCTGCAAGCCCTGCTGTTGCTCCTGTTGTCAGTGCAGACCATGCTGCTGTTCCCCTTGCTGCTGTTGCAACCAGGGTTGCTGCTCTCCTTGCTGCTGTGGCTCCAACTCCTGCTGCTCTTCTGGATGCAATTCTTTCCAGAAGAAGTGCTGAGCTCTTTAGAAATTGGTAATGGCACTGCAGATGTAAAAGCCAGCCTGCTAGCCCAGAACCTAGAAGCAAAATTCCACTGGCTGCTTGCCAACTCAACACTCATAGTATCAGGATTATATATGTTTTAACCACCTGGTTGCCTTCTTAGGCACATCTCCCTGAGTTCAATGTCTCGATGCTGAGTTCAATGTTTCTCCCTCCTTTGTGAAACTGAAGATTAATTCTCTTCAATACGTCTTCTAAGTGATGGAGACTTGACGTTTTCATGAAATATATGGTGCATTTATTTTCTCCCTGGTGTTTGGGGTGTGATTGTCTCTTTCTAACTCTGTAAAAACTCCTACAATTAAATTCTGGAATCATGTCTGTGCATGGTGTTGTTGATTCATTTTGTACTTCACAAAACTTTTCCTGGGGGAAAGGCTCATTGTTCAATGGAAGAGCCCCTACTCTGCATACAGAAGGTCCCTGGCATGTCCAGGTAGGACAGAGGAAAAAAATATATGTCTGAAACCTTGGAGAACTGCTAGTGGTTACTGTGGAGAAAATACTAAGCTAAATAGGTTACAGCATTCAATCTCAAAGTTCTGGGGGCCACCACCTCCTTGGTTTCATGAACTCATTTTCATTGTCCCCCACACTATCCAGTCAAAAGCATTATTGAGAAAATCAGTTTGTTCAACCCATGAAATGGGATGATAACACAACAAAACTCAAAACATTAACAATTAATTGTGCATTTATTTGAAATCAAATTAAAACTATTTAGTTAAATAAACTAAATAGTTTTATTTGGTTTTCAGATAACTGTGCAATTCAACAGAATTGATGAACTTGATCCAGTGACTAACTTTTCAAAACGTGATAGTTATTTACCTTTCCAGTCCCCCCCCCACCATCCACTTCATTCTTAGTGTCCCCATAGGTAATCCTGCCCCTCCAATGGGTTGTACATAAAACAAAATATTCACTCTAGAATGACACCCAACTGATCTACCTTCTGTTAGGCAATAGTTTTCCAATCTTCTGACCATAGCAAAAGGTGTTGTTCTTGAGGGGGAAGAGCTCAGTGCGAGCAACACCACCATTGAGGAATGACCGTATTTCTTTGTCTTTCACCATAACATCTGAATAAATCATAGTAAGAATTTCTTGTTTCATGTCTGCTTCTTGTTGCCATTGGGGGAGGAAGAGAATTCCTCAAGCCCCCTCCACAACAGTTCTATAAGATTTGTTAGGCTGAGAGGCAGTGACTGGTTGAAGGGCCAAGTGGAGATTTATTATTATTTTTTAAAAAAATATATTTTTATTAAGCAATTTCAACATAACAAATTATCAAACCGTATAATCACATACAGTGGTACCTCGGGTTAAGTACTTAATTCGTTCCGGAGGTCCGTTCTTAACCTGAAACTGTTTTTAACCTGAAGCATCACTTTAGCTAATGGGGCCTCCCGCTGCTGCCGTGCCACTGCTGCACAATTTCTGTTCTCATCCTGAACAAAGTTCTTAATCTGAAGCACTCTTTCTGGGTTAGCGGAGTGTTTAACCTGAAGCATATGCAACCCAAGGTACCACTGTACATTATCCCCCCTTTTTTCCTACTCCTCTTCCATCCCTCCCTCCCCCCTCCCACCAGGGACTTCCCTCAGCTCCTCTCTCTGATTTCTCTACACATATTATTCTCTGCATGTTATAAAGTTATACATATCCTGACCTTATCTACCTATCATGTTATCGACCAATAAATTTGTGTATGTTTATTCAAAACCTGCCAAGGAGTCCAGTTCATTTTGTTGTCTTTTTAGATAATTTGTAAAGAGCTCCCATTCTTCCTTAAAGTCACAGTTGGCCTTGTCCCACATGGCCAAGTGGAGATTTAAATCCTAGTCTCCCAGGTTCTAGTCTTGACACTCTAACCACTACACCATGCTGGCTAATTAGATCAAAGAAGGTAAATAAACTCATATTTGGACAGATGCCCATAATAATACAATAGGTTGCAAGCATCATAATGTTATAATATGATAGTAATAATTTATTATTTATACCCCACCCATCTGCCTGGGTTTCCCCAGCCACTCTGGGCACATCCCAACAGAATATTAAAAACACAATAAAACATCAGGCATTAAAAACTTCCCTAAACAGGGCTCTTGAGCACTATAGTTAAACTGATTATTACAAAACCTAACACAAAAAACCTATTTTCCATGAACCTCTCAGACTGTTTTATATATATCATTTCATAGTAAGTTAATTTAATAACTGCTTCTATAGACCAGATCTTTTCTCAAATCATTCACATATAGTAGGTAATATTTTTCCACTTTTTGGCAGATGATTTTATACATGGGGGGGGGGATTTAATTCAGTGTCCATTGTCCTTTAAAAAAATTGTCCTTTATATATAAATACAAAAAAGGCAGGTGACATGTTCCTTTTGGTGACAGCTGACTTGACCTCAGGTGGAGCGAGAACATCACACACAGGTGCTCTGATGATACAGTGAACCTGTGAACATCTTCCCAAGCCTACGGATGCTGGAGGAATGTGAGATTCCAAAGGAAAAACTCAAAAAGAGGAAGAAAGGTGCCCTGAAGTCTTTGAGGTGTTGATCTCATCTTTTCCTATTGACTTATAAAAGTGTACACATATTGCTAATTGGAACACTTAGATTAAAAGGAATGACCTCTAGCAAGAGAGCTCAGATGGTGTAACCAACTAGCGAGCAATCATGCACTGTTGAGTCACAATGGTGACGTTCAGCCGCATGGGTCCAACGAAACGGTCCATTCCCTCTTTTGAGCATTTGAATTCATGTAGCCGTCCTTCTCAGGTGCCCTCTGGTGTGTGCTTGACATGAGGTTTACAGTGTGATGAGCCTCAAATGCCTCTAATTATAGACCTTGAGAAAAGTCTCTTGAAGTGGAAGATGTGAACCAACACGACGAACATGGGATTGGGAGGTGGAAAGCGCAGCACATAGACATGTGCTTTGAGTAGCAATGAAGAACGTCTCCATTCATTGGCGGTGCCTCATTTCCTAGGGGCTGGGTGCTTAGTCCTGTATAAAAAGATCCTCCTTCCCCAACTCTTCACTCATTCCCTTGAATCTCCATTGTGCTTCCAAGTTCCGACTGCTGTACAAGGTAAGTTCGAATTTAATTGCTGGTTATTTGGATAGCATTAAACTTATTACAAAAACCACATCCATAATTGGAGTTATTGGGTAGATTTACGGGAACTACCTGCAGGACAAGATCCATCAGGTTTTCTTCTTTACTACTTCATTCCTTACAGAGATTTTTTTTTTTCAGTAGAAGGAATGAATTTGCAAACAAATCCCTTTTCAGTCAGAATTCCATTCCTTATTCTTAAATGTTCTCCAGATAGTGTGAATACTCTGTGAGATTTTTTTGGCTGAATCTTCACCTAATTCTGTATGGCTCTCATTGGCACTCCAGAATATTAGCCTTCAAGGTTTTTTAAATAATCTTTTGAGTAACAGCCTTACCATGTTGATGTGTGTCGGGCTCCCAGGCCATGGCTGAAATAACAAGGGGTTTCTTAAGTATAGTTTCCGATAATTGTCAGCGAATTGGAATATACTGAAGGCATAACAAGAAGAGAAAAATGTATTGTGTGTTTCTCGATGCATGTATGGATGTGAGTACTGCATGGTTTGATTACTGAAACAGACTCTTCACTTTTTTCCAGTTCCGCTCCATCAAAATGGCCTGTTGTCAAAACAAGTCTCAATGCTGTTCCAAGTGTGGCTGCTCCCCTTGCTGCTGTTCACAGGGTCAGAGCTGTTCCAAATGTGGCTGTTCCCCTTGCTGCTGCCACAAGGCTAAATGCTGTTCCAAGTGTGGCTGCTCTCCCTGCTGCTGCCAAAAGTCCTCCTGCTGTTCCAAGTGTGGCTGTTCCCCCTGCTGCTGCCAAAAGTCCTCCTGCTGTTCCAAGTGTGGCTGTTCCCCCTGCTGCTGCCAAAAGTCCTCCTGCTGTTCCAAGTGTGGCTGTTCCCCTTGCTGCTGCCACAAGGCTAAATGCTGTTCCAAGTGTGGCTGTTCCCCTTGCTGTTGTCAAAAGTCCTCCTGCTGTTCCAAGTGTGGCTGTTCCCCCTGCTGCTGTTCCCAGTCTTGCTGTTCTAGATGTGGCTGCTCTCCCTGCTGTTGTCGCAAGTTGACCTGCTGCTCCAGGTGTGGCTGCTCCCCCTGCTGTTGCTGTTCCCAGTCCCGCTGCTCCTGCCCCCGCTGCTGCAACCAGTCCTGCTGCTCTCCCTGCTGCTGTTCCCGTTGTCGTCGCAGCCCCTGCTGCTGCTGCAATCAGTGTGGCTGTTCCCCCTGCTGCTGTTGCAACCAGAGTTGCTGTGTCCCCTGCTGCTGCCGCCAGACCTGCTGCTCTACTTACCAGTACAAGTGCTGAACTCTTTAGAAACTGCTAATGGGGCCTTCGATGCAAAAACTAGAAAGTCAGCCCAGATCCTGGAAACAGAATCCGGGTTCCTGCTTAGAAGCTCAATACTCAGAATATTGGAATCAACATCAACACAAAACAATATTTAAATGCATGCTGGTTGCCTTCCTGTTGAGTGAGATGACTCAAACTTTGTCCCTGCCTCCTTTCATGAAATTCTTCTCTTCAAAACCCCTAAAAGTGCTTTGATTTGTTCATGGAATATATATGGTGTTCTATGTTTTCGTTTCGGTGTATTGGGTATATTTTTCTCTCTGTAGCTCTTCCTAATGTCCACTGATTAAATTCTGAATTCCTGGCAGTGTCTTGTGTTGTTGGTTGAAAATCTTTAGCTCAGTTGGAGGGTAGAGTGTCTGCTTTATATGCACAAGGTCCCAGGTTCAAAACCCATCATGTTCAAGTGGACCAGAGAATGTTCCAGCTCCAAAACCAATGGATTGATTCTGTATACGGCAACTTTTTATGTGCCTATCCAAAAGAACATGAGGCTTGTTCATGGAGGCTAAGGCCATCAGTGCTACTGATGGCAGTGTTGCCCCTTCACTGTTGGGTCTCCTGATGTTCTCCAGCCCTTGTCACCATCTTCCTCAGTAGCTGCAAACCTTCACTTTTGAGCTTTATAGTGAATGAACTGGTCTACCGCACTCAGTGATCCCAGTTACTGCCATGGCTCATTCTGATGCTCTAGTTGGCCAACGTACTCCAGATATTTGTTACACAACTCTACTGTAGGCTCAGGATCATGTGCTGCATATGTAATCAAGGTGTTGACCTTAAAATCCTTCAATGGCATCTGGGTTATGTGTTGACAATGTAGCTCTCGAATCGGTCCTTTGATGTGTTGCTCACATAGCTAAAGTGTTAGATTATGTCTTCACCACCATATAACCAAAGAGTTGGTAGTATACTCTTTAATGAAGTGGTCAGGGAGAAACAGTTGCAACTGGATGGAAGAATGGAAAAGCTTCAGTGGACACCAAGCAGGGCGCATTGCAGAAAATTTGGGTGACAGTCATTGGCTGTCCAATAATAATATTCTTTAGATTAGAGCCATTGCTTTAATGGGCCTAAGTTATTCATGTCTATTCATGTGTATTAATTACTATGGGCATTCTCTGAGTAGGACTGACACTGAGTATAAACCAGTGAATTGCTGCTGATGAAGGCCCACTCAGAGTAAACCCACTGAAAAGACTTGCCCTAAGTTAGTAATATTGATTCATTTCAATGGGTCTGCTCTAAGTGAGAGTGACATTGGCTACAGCCCATTAATTCAGAACTCCAAAATCACTTTAATCTTTGGTTGATCTGGTTTACTCAGGCTCATACATTGGTAGCGATAGTAGAAGTAATACTATTTATTTGCTTCCCTTCAACCTAAGGTCCCAGGGTGGCTAACAACAATTAAAACACAGTAGTTGCTTCATAACACAGAGAGTAGCCTACTAGGCACTGGCTACAGGGGGGTAAATCAGGGAAAATATATATGATAAAAGTACTATAGGTTGTTTGGGTGATTCAATGATTTAATTTGAACTTAAACTAGAGTTAAGCTTGTTGGTGTCTCTGGATTTTCTTTCTCTTACGTCGTGGATAATGCCTAGAATTCTGAAGGTATGAGCCTTTTGATAACAGTTGGCTTTGCTTTATATTGTGCTGGAACATTATGCCGGAAACATGCATTTCGGTTGCTGGAAACCACAGGAAGGGAGGGTGACATTGTGCTCGAATCCTGCTTGCAATTATCCAATGGGCGTTTGGCTGACTACTGTGAGATCAGGATGGTGAACTAGAAGAACCATCCAGCAGACTCTTCTTGTATTCTTAAGGTATCATTTTATTGCAGTGGGGGGGTCTCAAAATAGAGTAAGAAAAAAATTCCCTGAAGTTTTTGAGATGTTGACCCCTTGACTTATAAAAAATATGTACACTTATTCTAATTACAGCACATGCATTAGAACATTGATGGCCAACCTTGGCCCTCCAGCTATTTTGGGACTACAATTCCCAACATCCCTGACTACTGGTCCTGTTAGCTAGCGATGATGGGAGTTATAGTCCCAAAACAGCTGGAGGGCCAAGTTTGGCCATCACTGCATTACAAGGAATGAGCGCAAGTAATGAACCTCGGATGTAGCAACTGTTGCTCCTCTTCTCATTGCACCCCATGCTGCTGCAACCAGTGTGGTTGTTCCCCTTGCTGCTGTTGCAACCAGGGTTGCTGCTCTCTTTGCTGCTGTGGCTTCAACTCCTGCTGCTCTTCTGGTCGCAATTATTTCCACACCAAGGGCTGAGCTCCTTAGAAATTGCTAACGGCACTGCGGATGTAAAAACCAACTTGGAAGCAACATTCCACTGGCTGCTTGCCAACTCAACACCCGAAATGTCAGGAATATATATATATATATATATATATATATATATATATATACACACACCAGGCAGTGTCTGTGTGTGTGTGTGTGTGTATAAAATATACTGCCTGGTTTTCTTCCCAGGCTCATCTCGCTGAGTTCAATGCCTCATTGCAGAGTTCAGTGTCCCTTCCTCCTTTGTGAAACTGTTGATTAATTCTCTTCAATACTTCTTCTAAATTTTCAATGAAACAGTCTTGACTTTTTCATGGAATACATGGTGCTCTTATTATCCCCTTGGTGTTTGCTGTGTGATTGTCTCTGCCTAACTCTGGGATGTGGGTGGCACTGTAGTGAAAACCACTGAGCCTTGGGCTTGCCGATCGGAAGGTCGGCGGTTCAAATCCCTGCGATGGAGTGAGCTCCTGTTGCACGTCAAAGTGCAAGTAGATAAATAGGTACCGCTCTGGCGGGAAGGTAAATGGCATTTCCGTGTGCTGCTCTGGTTTTGCCAGAAGCGGCTTAGTCATGATGGCCACATGATCTGGAAACACTGTCTGCGGAGAAACGTCAGCTCCCTCGGCCAGTAAAGCAAGATGAGTGCTGCAACCCCAGAGTCGTCTGTGACTGGACTTAACTGTCAGGGGTCCTTTACCTTTACCTTTAACTCTGAAATGACTCCTACAATGAAATTCTGGAATCATGGCTTTGCAGGGTATTGGTGGTTCATTCTGTACATCACAAAACTCATCCTTGGGGAAAGGTGCATTGCTCAATGGAAGAGCCCCTGCTCTGCATGCAGAAGGTCCTTGCTTCTATCCCTGGCATGTCCAGGTAGGACACACAGAGAGAAAAAATCTATGTCTGAAACCCTGGGGAACTGATAGCAGTTAGTGTGGAGACAATACTAAGCTAAATGGGTTAGAGCAGTGATTCCCAAATGTGTGGGGGCCACCGCCTCCTTGATTCAAGAAACTCATTCCCGGTGCTCCCTGTAGTACCCAATAAAAACCATTATTTAAAAAGCCCATGAAATAAGATAGCAAAATGAAAGTCAAAACAGCAACAATCTATTGCACATTTATTCAATTAATGCTATTTATTTTAATTCAATTTTTTTTATGAACTAGGTTTTCAAAAAATCTGATAGTTATTTACATTTCCAAGGGTAGGGTATAAATTCTATTGATAATAGTCAATAATAAGACACATTTCTTTTTTTAAGTATATTTTTATTGGAGATTTCTTAGTTTACAAAAATATGTGCAATGTCTCTTTTTTTCAAGCTGCGTTTTCTACAAATCAGTTTCATTTGATGTTAGACATTAGTGTTACATACAGTGTTAAGTTAGGAAGGAAAGAGGAGGAAAGAGGGAGAGGGGGAATGGTGAGTGGGGTGGAGTCAGGTGGCAATGCTTCTATTCTTCTACTTAGTGTAGGTGTGGTGGGTTTTTGTGTCAGCGTCACTTGTGTGGATTCTCTTACCCATGTGGTGTAGTGGTTAAGAGCGGTGGACTCGTAATCTGGTGAACCGGGTTCGTGTCCCTGCTCCTCCACATGCAGCTGCTGGGTGACCTTGGGCTAGTCACACTTCTCTGAAGTCTCTCAGCCTCACTCACCTCAGAGTGTTTGTTGTGGCGGAGGAAGGGAAAGGAGATTGTTAGCCGCTTTGAGACTCCTTAAGAAGAGTGAAAAGCAGGATATCAAGTCCAAACTCCTCCTCCACCTCTTCTTCTTCCTTCTTCTTCTTCTTCTTCTTCTTCTTCTTCTTCTTCTTCTTCTTCTTCTTCCTCTTCCTCTTCCTCTTCCTCTTCCTCTTCTTCTTCTATTGGCTTGCCGTATTTCTTTGGTGGTGAAAGATGTTGGGGTGGCCTAGGGTGTGTTTGGTTGTCTTTGGTTTGCTGTAATGAGATTTGTTTTTGTGTGTGAATGGTGTGTGTGTGTTTGGATCAAGTTAGCCAGATTGATTCATATGCTGTCGGCGGATTCCTAATACGACACATTTCTGTATTATTGCTGCTGCTGTTGCTGTCATTGTCATTGGAGGCCAGCCTATTAGGGTAAATTGGGCAGTGCCCCATCAACCCTGTTTGCCTTCAGTCTTATTTACATGCAGTTCTTACATTATAATATGGATTTTGCTCTTCCTTGAGTCCTGATCGCTATAATTTTTAAAAATTCCCAATGACTGAATCATGAGCTTGTGTCCATCACATCACATCCACAACCGGGCTGAAGAAGGTGAGCTGGTATTTTATGATGACCACAAAATGCTCCAAATGGTGATGTGGCCCAGAATCACGTCACTAAGAGTCCATATGAATCACTCCTATACTTCACACTTGGCCCTAGCTTTTTCCAAAATTTCATCCAATTTGGATGCATAAATGCAAGAAGTGGGCAAGAGAAGGCCATAGAAATGATCCATGCCAATCAATGGCGAGTAACAGTCAAATAGGTGTAGGAGAAATGGATGCTATGGAAATAGTGTCATTCAGGTCATACCAGAGCTTGAAAAGGAACTAGTTTCGGTTGAGTTTCAACGTGCTGCAAAAGCAACTAATCTCAGTTAACATCCATCCCTTGACAAAAGGGACTAAGCTGGTTGGGTCCACAGATGTTGTTGGACTACAACTCTCATCTTCTTCTCTTCTTCTTTGGCGATCACTCATAGCCAAGTAAGATTGTCTTCCATAAACACGGTTTTAACAATGAGTCCGTAAGTGACTGTGGAGGCCAATTCTGGATCCACACGTCCTTCCACAGTTGGGGACATTGGTTTCCAGGTGGGAGTTGATCACAGTGTGGATTTCCCAAGTGTGCCTTCCTCTTAGCACGTTTCTCCCTTGCATCCTGAGTTTGAGAGTCTTCAAAGCCCATGACACCTTTGGTAAAGGCTGTTCTCCAACTGGAGCGCTCGCAGGACAGTGTTTCCCAGTTGTCAGTGTTTATACTATATTATTTTAGATTTACCTTGAGACAGTCTTTAAACCTATTTTGTTGACCACCAGCATTACACTTTCCATTTTTAAGTTCGGAATAGAGT